ACATATAAAATATGTAAAGCAACTCGATGCCGCTTATGCAGCAAAATAAGCGCCCTCTTCTGTTGCTCCCTCCTATTCTTACTGTGGAATTTAGTTAGATCCCCAATTTCATTTCGTGTCTCCCCCTCTAATATTCTTTATAAAGTTTGTGACCAGGATTCAAAGGCTGCATCGATGTAACCCTGTCCGTTAATTTCCCTTACCTAACCAAAACTGCACCAACTTAATACCTTCTTTGTGACCAATTCCATGGTACGCTTATATCCACCGAGGCATTTAATATCGTAGGTCAACAATTTTAAAGTTACGGGTTTTTGGGGGGGGGGGGGGTTCTTTTTTTTTGGGGGGAGGGGGGGGGGTTGTTAGTGTTCTAAGGCTCTCGCAACTGCATGAGGTCATATGAGCGCGCCGAACACACCAAACATTTTCAGTTGGTAGGAAATTTAGAATTTTGCCCGGGAGGCGGCCAAAGCCTACACTTGTCGATTTGAGACCACCAAAGGATCTTTAACGGGCGCAACTTGCACACGGGACTTCCGATATTTTTCGCCCTTGTCCGAGAAGGCTAGGTGTAGATCTTTAGCACCAGAAGATCAGGGATTTGGTTGAAAGACAGCAGCGTGAAGGAACGACAGAACATTGCTAGAGAGCAGGAAATAATGTGAAAGGAGACGATTTTAGCGAAGAAAATGTTTCGGTCATTTTCCCGGATTCGAACCCGGGACCTTTGAATGAGAGGCAAACACCTTAACCTTTAGGCCAGGAGAGCCCCCGAGTCCACTGTGCACAGTATACTGGTTTGAGCTTCTAATGATTGTCGTTTTAGATGGAACTTTCACGAAACCCAGCCAGATTCTTCAGGGGCTTAAGAGCTTTGAGAATATAACCATGGTTCATCAGCACGTGGTGTAATGTGCCTATAGGTCTAATAAAACACAAAACACACCATACACACACACACACACACACACACACACACACACACACATACACACACACAAACACATATGCACGCACGCACGCACACACACACACACACACACACACACACACACACACACACAATATAGAAAGAGAGAGAGAGGAGGGAGAGAGAAGGGATAGAGAGGGGTAGAAAGAGAGGGAGAGAGAAAGATAAAGTCAGAGAAAGAGAGAGAGAAGGGGGGAAGAGAGAGAGAGAGAGAGAGAGAGAGAGAGAGAGAGAGAGAGAGAGAGAGAGAGAGAGAGAGGGGGGGCGATTGGGGGGGGGGGGGGTATGCGTCATTTAACTAATAATGACAACAGATTTCCAAAAAGAACAAACTCAGTTTTTTTTGGTTTTATTTTTGTTTGTTTGTTGTTGGTTTTTGGGGGAGGGTGGCGGTGTCGTTGTTATTTCATCGTATTTGATTATTTCACTTCACGGTGCAACAGTGTGCAGTTACCCAAAACCATTTCATTTGACGTCCCACTCGTCTCGAGACTGTCTTTCTCCTAGCTAGAGGCTGTGCCGCAGGGGGGCGGGGTTGCTTTGGGCCAATCGCAGCTCTGTTGAGCCTCGTTGAATATCAGAGCTGCAACATTCAAACAGTTTGTGACGCCTGTTGTTTTCGTACTTTTACGCCCTACTAGACTCAGATCAATCATTTAAGAAGTTCACGGGAAAAATGGGTGAGTTAAAAAAAATAATAATATAAACTTTGTTAAGATTTAGTAAGAGTTTTGCGGCACCTGCAATACAAAACGGTCATATAAGTCCTAAAGATTAAACGTGGTACAGGAGAGTAATTAACACAAAAAATGAGGAGAGATAAAGACTATAGATCTTTGATAGGGAAGACGGAGCAAACCACACCAGAGTATCCGTCAACCACGCACTAAAATGGAAACTGATATAAAATAAAATTCAAAAGTTTGTAGACTCATAACTTTATTTCTGTTCGGCTGCTGGCCATTGAATATGGGATTGTTAATTAGAACTGTGCAGCAAACAAAGAAGGGATGTTATCATCATAAAAATGACCTTTGTCTATTCATTTTTCAATCACTCCAGAAGTTGCATCCCATGATGGGAAGTAGCACCTTTTTTTTTTTTTTTCCCCTCCCCCTCCTCCCCCCCTCACCTTTCCCCCCAATCTCATATCGGAGATGGACGTTAAATTTGGAGGTCTGGCCTCTTAAATAACCTTACAGTGATGCCAGAGCCATTAAACTTATATAATTTTACATATTCCGCCCCCCCCCCCTCCTCTCAATCCCAGCCATTCATTTTTAGTGGGATGGAGGGGTATGTGGGCAGAGTATGATATACTATAATATGATTGATTTTTACACGACTTTTTGCGCTGGAGGCTTGACATTGCTTGTGTATTCATGGGTAGGACAAATGAATAAATAAAATCAATGAAAGCTGATATCTGAATGGAATAGAAGAAAGGCTTGCTTAACGTTTCTGTTGTCAAATTTGAGTTTCTTGTGTTTGTCCTAAAATTGTAAGGCTCTTCTCCTTCGATCAAAACACATTGGGTTCGACTCCCGGAGGGAAGGTCACATTAACTTACAGCGTCATTATATAATATGTTGTGTCTCACATATCCAAAATCAAACAGGGTCTAAACAGCCCGCTTCGTAAGATATCGAAACACCGTCTATGAGCGCATAGAACGTTAACAACTAGCGCCAAATACATTCAAGCTGTGACTCGGGCTCAGATCCCTGTCAGGAATTCGAAACAAAGCCATTAGCATAGTAGTCCAGCATGATGCCATTATAACTAACGGTGCACTGTTTCATTTATATAAGTGTTTTGTTATGTTCTCGGACTCGGCATGACTTAAATGGAGTCGTGAGGTTGGGGTTTGGGGGGTTGGGGTGGGGGGGGGGTGGTCCGAAGCTCAGCTGGGCCTGACGTTGTGTCTTTGGGAAAGGCATTTGGCACGGATCTTCCTCACATCACCCATGAGTGTCTTTGCAATAGAAAGCGAAAGCTTCTGTTAGTAAGGTAGTGTTTAGAGCCTCTGAAGTGGTAGCTGACACTGTGTGCTTCCCAGTAAGCTGAGCTTAATTTATAATGTTATTATGTCTGCTGAGGTAACAATAAGAGCTGTAAAACGCACAGAGCATGCTTTTGAGCAGGAATTAACACTATAATACATGCTATCTATTTGCAATTTATCATATTATAGAATTAAAAAGAAATGTGTGCTCTAAATTTTGTCAAAGTTGCAGTAAAAACACATACAGTAATTGAAAAAAAAAAGTGGTAAGTGCATTAGTAGTTGCCTGTAGCGTGGCAGATACTCACCAGCAGGGCAGAAGTTGTGGCCAACGAACTGGCCACTGATGCAGGTGTAGTAAGACTTGCAGCTGTTGTCTGTGTCAGCGTAGTGACCGTCGTTTATGTTGGTGCAGTTCTTGAAGACACCACAGGGTGGGGGGACGTTGGCCGCACTGGAACATAGACAGTGAATACGTACATCACCACGCGGTGGAATCTGGCACTTGTCAATATTTGGGTATACGAATTTATTGGTATCATCTTGAAGTTTATCCATTTGTCTTGCTTTTGTTGAAAAAAAAATACCCATCTATTTTTAATAAAAGTCGAGATATTGAATGCGGCGGGGGTCACATGAAGTCATTTTGTGCAAAGAAAAGAGACAGACAGACAGACAGACAGACAGACAGACAGACAGACAGACAGACAGACAGA